GCGCATGCGCACACATGCGCAGCTGACTCGCCTCGCTCTCCTGTCCGTGGCTTCCCCCTCGGCATCTGATCACGCTGGGGAGCATATGCATGGCGGCTTGGGGGATCTGTCTGATCCCGCTGCCACGCTTCTCTTTTGCTGTGGCTCTAAGAAGCCGCACTTCTGCCCCAGCTTTTCCTGCGGTGTGACCGGGTCCTCTGGTTTTCAATAGCAGAAAGCATGGCACATTAAAGGGGCCGCACTGAGGTCACTCCACCTGTTTATGGCACACGTCACAACAATGGTACAGAAACACTTATTTAACAATGAAATCATTAGCAGAGCTGCACCCTCCTAAATGGGTTTAGAAGGGTGTGATTCTACTTAGGATTGCAATTAGGGTTGCCAGGTCCAAGTTGGGAAATACCTGGAGATTTTGGGGGTGGAGCCTGAGGAGGGCGGGGTTTGGGGTGAGGAGGGACTTCAGTGGGGTAGAACACCATAGAGTCCACCTTCCAGAGTGGCCACTGTTTCCAGGTGAACTGACCTCTGTGGTCTGGACATCGATTGTAATAGCGGGAGACCTCCAGCCACCATCTAGAGATTGGCAACTCTAACTGCATTGTAGGTTTCAACCCTGGTGGTAACTATCCTTCATTTCCAATTACCATATCATAAAACTGCCTGCCAGAGCCAAGCACTGAGGTTATGATGAGTCTTCACAGGTTGGCTAACACGTGGCATAGCTAGGCTTGCCAACATCCAGGTCGCACCTAGAGATAACGGGTGCTTTGGAGGGTGAACTCTATGGCATTATACCCCATTGAAGTCCCTCACTTCCCCCAAATCCCATCTTCCTCAGGCTCCACCCCCCCAAAAAAAAATCTCCAGGCATTTCCCAACCCAGACTGTGGCTGTGGACTGAGCAGGTGGGCACACAAACACCTTTATTTGGGCTGGCTTTAGAGTTTTGAGCTGCGGTGGCTCAAGTGGTTAAGACGCTGAACTGCAGGCTGTGGAAGGTCAGTAATTCAGCAGTTCGAGACCCGGGTGCCGCATGACGGAGTGAGCTCCCGTCTCAAGTTCCAGCTCCTGCCAACCTAGCAGTTCGAAAGCAAGACATTGCAAGTAGATAAATAGGTACCACTTCAGTGGGAAGGTAACAGCGTTCCGTGCGCCTTGGTGTTTAGTCATGCCGGCCACATGACCATGGAAACGTCTTCGGACAGCGCTGGCTCTTCGGCTTTGAAACGGAGATGAGCACCGCAACCCTAGAGTCGGATTCGACTGGCTTTCAAGCAAGGGAACCTTTACCTTTACCTAGATTCCCTACCACCATACAGTTTATATTCCCTTCCATTTCAAGCTACAACCCAACTGAAAATAAATCCTGCAAATCCTCTCATTAAGGCTTCCTGTGTATTTCTTCCAGTCTGAATACTTCTGCATTATCAGTTCCCTTTTTTATTATCAGTTCTTGGCAAACTCAGGCAGGTAAAATGCTTTCTACCCATTCCCAGGGCTAACCAGTTTGCACTGTTCTCGCGTTACACTGCAGCCAATGACTTGATTACTGAAAGGACAGACGGTGTGATCCAAAATGAAAAGGCAACAATGTGAAGGAGAGCCCATTCTCACAGCACTTTCCCTCTCCTTTCTTTTCCTCTCCCCCAATGTGATTGGATTCAGGTTGGCCAAAGATCTAGTGTGTGAAAACCAATACTAAATTGTAACCTCATGCATGAATGTACATCTCCTAAATAGTGGGGGGGGGGGGGAAAGGGGGAAGGGGGGGGGGGGGGGCAATGAGGCAACCAGGTTAGTTTGTGCTGTGTTTTTTGTCTCAGACATCCTCAGACACTGTTATATTAATGCAGAAGGACGCGACTTAATCAGTAGCTGCTTCAGTTAATAAATCTGATGAATTATTTATTGCCCAAACATCTTTGATTTCGAAGCAGTAACCTGACATCTAGAACAAGGTCAGAATTTCGATGAGTTGGATTTTAGAGGAAAAACCTCTGATGCTGTCAGTTTCATCTGGCTTTAACAAGCATGTAATTATATAAGAACAAAGTACAGGGGTGTAATTACCCAAATAAATTGGTTACATATAATCTCCTTATATCCATATAACAAATTTCCATCAAGCATGACTGGTACATTAGCATTCACTGTGGACTGCAACAGGCAGTAGTCCTGGTGTTTCAATGAGGATTTTTTGTAATGTGGTTACTGATATTGATTTTTATGAAGATTTGCTCTGGGTGCAGTGTTGCTGAAGTGTTTGTTTGGGCTGATGAGTTTTCATTGGCTATGGTTATGTTTTATGATATGTTGCTAAATACCTTGGGCTCTAAGGCAAAAATAAAATAAACACTGTTGGAGGGGAGGGAGTGTGGTTTAGTGTCAGGGCATCTGCTTTGCATGCAGGAGGACACAATTTCAGTTCCTGATACTGGATCACGTACCACATAACGTCAAGGGAGTGACTGCCGGTCAGGGTGGACGATACTGACCTTGACAGATCAGTGGTCTGACAGTATAAGGCTGCTTCATGTATTCATTAAGGGCTTCTTGCTCTTTTGTTTCCCAAGAAGTACAAGAAGCATCAAATGAGCCTAGGTTCAAAACTGCACCTTAGCCAAACTCCAGTGACTTTGGAAGAGTCATTCACTCAACCAGGGCTTTTTTTGTAGAAAAAGCCCAGCAGGAACTCATTAGCATAATAGGCCACACCCAACACCAGACACTCATTAGCATATTAGGCCACGCCCTTGACAGCACAGCACATTAGCATATTAGGCCGCACCCCCATGTTACCAGAAGTGTGGTCATCCAGCCACACCCACCTTTTGCTTCTTATTCTGTTTACTTTGTTGTCAAAACCCAGAGGGTTTTTTTGTAGCAGGAACTCCTTTGCATGTTAGGCCACACACCCCTAATGAAGCCAATTCTAATGAGTTTCTGCTGTTGGGTGTGGTCTATTATGCTAATGAGTTCCTGCTGGGTGTGGCCAACTCAGGAGCCAGCCGGAACTCCGTTCCTGTGCGTTCCTGCCCAAAAATAGCCCTGCACTCAACTATTTCAAAGTTTGAGTCCAGCGGCACCTTTAAGACCAACAAAGTTTTATTCAAGGTATAAGCTTTTGTGTGCAAGCACACTTCTTCAGATACAGTGAAGTGTGCTTGCACACGAAAGCTTATACTTTCAGTAAAACTTTGTTGGTCTTAAAGGTGCCACTGGATTCAAACTTTGTTCTACTGCTTCAGACCAATACAGCAACCCTCTGGATCTATCAGCTATTTCAGTAATTCATGGAGAACACCGAAAACTACCCTTGTAATAGGGGCTTTTCCACACCACGTTTTTGCCCCAACTTCCTTTCTCAGCTGCATCATGTTTTCCCCTCTCTCTTACACATGAGATCATTTGCTCTCCCTGTTGCTTCTCTCCCCCCCCCCCAGCTGAGTTGCTCCCACAAAGGGCACTTCTTTCCTGGCAGGTGTCCTGTGCCCTCTGACGTTCCTGGGCGTTCAGCAGCCCAAGCCAGCCAGCCTCGCTGCGCTGCCGCAGCTCAGCATAGTGGGGAACTTTCGCTGGGTGGATTTCTACCTGTCGCACGGCAGGGAGAGACCTGGGAGTCTGGATCAGGTCAGAGATGAGGGGCGGGCTGAGGGCAAGAAAGCCTCCTGTCCTGGCCACCGATGAGGGGTTTGTCCTCCTGAGGTGCCCTGGGATCTATGCAGCCCAAGGAGCTCTCGGCATACCCAAACAGGATGAGGAGATGTGGGAAAAGAGAGAGAAAGAGATAGTGAGAGATAGATAGATAGATGGAAGGAAGGAAGGAAGGAAGGAAGGAAGGAAGGAAGGAAGGAAGGAAGGAAGGAAGGAAGAAAGAACGAAAGAAAGAAAGAAAGAAAGAAAGAAAGAAAGAAAGAAAGAAAGAAAGAAAGAAAATATCGCTTTCTGCTGAGGGGTGTATGTGACCGGGGGGGGGGGCTTTTCGCTCTGGGATTTCTCTCCACCCTGCATCTCTCTGGTAGCCCGCCAGCGGGAAAGCTATTCATTGGATCTGTATCTGTTTGAAGTTCCTTTATTATGCTTGACCTAACTGTGTATCCCCAGTTCTAACAAAGAACGTGTTTGAGTATGTCTTCAACGCTTTGAAATAAATTTTGCTTTTCTTTAAAACGTGGATTTATTCTCGATGCTTGGGGATCCAACAGAAGCACACTCTCATGTTCAATAACAGTGATAGTGATACACTATGCCAGACAGCAAATCTTCGCTGCGATCACACACACTAAATAATCCACTTTCAATGCACTTTCCAACTGGTTTTTACTGTGTGAACTGGCAAAATCCAGTTGGAAAGTGCACTGAAAGTGGATGGGAAGTGGATTATTCAGTGTGTGTGACCGCAGCCCTTGATGTAGACCAATAGTAGAAAACTTTAAACAAGAAGTGGACCAAGAAGAGACTGCATTTAACGTAGACTCTTCCGGCATCAAAGCACAGTGTACCAGCACCTGACCTCTCCAAGAGTGCTGGCAGAAGGTCAGACATACTGCTTTACCCCAAGCACTGTGTTGCTATCCATTAATAAACAAATCAGAAGATGGTGGTAATCTGGATCCAAATTGAGAGAATGTAATCTGAACTGGTGGGGTGATTAATCCTTCCCACGCTGGCTGTTTTCCCCCCTAGTGCCTCTTTTTCCCCAGCTGCTTCCTACATGAAATGGCAAATATGCTTTAGCCCAGGGGAAAAGTGGTTAGGAACTAAGGACAATAGTCTGCTGGGGAAAGTACCAGCGGGAACTGGGTTAAACACTTCCTTCCCGCTCCAAGTTACACGTCTGCATAGACATATGCGCAGAGATCACTTTGCAGCTGGTAAGATTCTTGGCTCCACATCTCTGCCAAAACATCAAGTTCTGCCCTAAGGGCTAGGATGAACCAGAACAAGCATCAGCCTATGATCCTTTTGTGCCTGAAAATTTCCAGACACCCTGTTCTGGCTTCAACCGAAAGGGTTTTGTCCTTTGCAAGAGACAGGATATTCTGGCTGCTGCTGCTTCCATAGTTAACACTTTTACGATGGTTCCGTATTTGCTCAGAGATTTTGAAATGGACCTTATGAAAAAGTTACACGTCATGTGTAAGCAAACCTTGACAAAATCAGCATTGGTTCTCACAAATTTTTAAAACCACCAGTTTATGGGAAGTGGAAATGTATTTCAGTCAATGTATTTCAGTCAAGGTAGAAAGCACACTCACATGCATAAAATACAAACTTTTGTACTTTATTTTGTAAATATAGAAATGTACCACAAAAATTAGCACTCTAGAAAAGTAAAGGTAAAGGTTCCCTTGCTTGAAAGCCAGTCGAATCCGACTCTAGGGTTGCGGTGCTCATCTCCGTTTCCAAGCCGAAGAGCCAGGGCTGTCCGAAGACATTTCCGTGGTCATGTGGCCGGCATGACTAGACACCAAGGTGCACAGAACGCTGTTACCTTCCCACTGAAGTGGTACCTATTTATCTACTTGCAATTTCTTGCTTTCGAACTGCTAGGTTGGCAGGAGCTGGAACTAGAAACGGGAGCTCATTCCGTCATGCGGCACACTCAGGTCTCGAACTGCTGAACTACCGACCTTCCACAGCCTGCAGTTCAGCGTCTTAACCACTTGAGCCACCGCAGCTCTTTCTAGAAAAGTACCAGCAGCCAAACGTCATTTCCTCATCTTGGAGGCCAGCTCAAATTAACCTTTCAGAATGAACAAAGTTTGAGTTCGGTGGCACCTTGGAGACCAACAAAGTTTTATTCAATATATGAGCATTCATGTGTGCGCACACTTTCTCAGATACACTGAAATGTTTCAGACTAACATGGCTGCCCACCTGGCTCTTTCGGATTGAGAAAGTCTTCTAACAAAAGATTCAAAATATTGGTGAAACAGCTACATCGGCAACACCCTGAACTCATCCTGAACTTGGGATCCCCCAAGTTTGCAGAACTATCTGTTTATGGTCAGTGTGGCCCCAATCCATGGGCTTAGATATCCGTAGATAAGGCCATACTCGACTGTTAGAATGTAAGATAAAATTACTTAGACAAAATGCACATTTACGATCATGACAATAAATCTTTTTGGGAATGGATATAAACTTGCCAAACACTGTGTATAAGTGAAGTGAATTTATTTTGGCATGGTTGTTATAAAATCCGCTCCTTTGGACAAATGATATACAAGATGCACCAAGCTAATTACAAAACAAGTGCTTTTATCTAAGTAAGGTGTGTATAAGCTTTAAAAAAGAGCATACTTTCCACCCCACTAAGGACCCCCTACCCCCTACCCCCGCTCTTGAGAATAATTTCTCCCATCTTGTTCTAACTAGATTTAATAATGACACCTGTGTTAAAGATGGTTTAGACTAACCTGAGTCTGAGGTATGATCATAAAAGGCTGACATTTCTATGGTCTACAGGACACAACCAGACAATAAGGCAGCCCTGGAAGAAACCCAGAGATGCCACAACCATTTTACTGCAGGAATTCTTTTGTTTTTAAAATGCCAAAGGGCCTGACCTTCTCCAGACTGTGGTGCCGGGGGATGCCATTTTCCAAGAACCCAAACTCCTGGGGCATAACTTACTTCTATAGGGAGTGGTGGCGCAGGGTGTAAAAACACCTGCCATAACATCTAGCGAACAGCCTGTAAGGCTGTTCGAGACCCACCGCAGCAGGGGTGAGCACCCGGCCCTAGTCCCAGCTCCCGCCTACCCAGCGGTTCGAAAGCAATAACAGCAAGCGAGTAGATGAATGGGTACCTGCCTTAGATGGCAGGGGGCACCCTCCTCCATTGTGAGGTGCAGTGGGAACACTTAACAGCGGTGGTGCGGCGAGCAGCGGCGGCGGAGCGACGAGGGATGGTGGCAACGAGTGAAGTGGCGAGTGAAAGCAGCAAGGAGGCGCAACATCAGCGGTGGACCGGGCGACGGCGGAGGCGGAGCCAGAAGGCGCGAGGACGCAGAGGTGTAGGCGCGGCGGAGCCTACTGGACAGAGCCGGAGCCACGCCGACGCGATCTGCGCGACAGATGGGCCCGCCGGGAAAAAGCCGACTCCGAAGACCACTTGAAGAAGTAGACGAGAGAAGCTGAGCCAAAGCCAGAGCCGAGCCGAGCCGAAGGAACAAGTGCATCCCACCACTGGGTGCCGGTAGGCAGCCCCCACCCCTGACCATATGTGTGCCCATAGATAGAAATAATGAAATATGTAAGCCGCTCAGAGACCCCTTGGGGGGTTTGAGCGGGGTATAAGCTGAATGTATAATAATAATAATAATAGGTACCCCTACTTATTTTTATTTATTTAAAAGTTTTGCAGGCCTGCTTTTATTCTCATGTATCCGGGACCAAAGGCAAGTACCAAGAATAAAACTAATATAACATGACATTATAAAAACAAGATTAACTGCAACCCTAAGTAGAGTTAGATGCTTCGAAGTCCACTGAGATCAATGAAGGGTACAACTCTGCTTTGGACTGCACTGTAAAACTGACAGCAAAAACTTAATAGAGTCCAACATAGACCGTTGACCTGACTTGAATGGCCCACACTAGCTCGAGTTCATCAAATCTTGGAAGCGAAGCATGGTCAGCCCTAGATAGCATTTGGATGGGACACCACCAAGGAATTCCAGGGTCGCTATGCAGAAGCAGGCAATGGCAAACTATCTCTGAAATTCTCTTGCCTTGAAAACTCTGCTCCCATAAGTTGGCTGCAACTTGATGGCACTTTACCTAGGGTTGCCAGGTTCAATCTTCTCCCTAGCGGGGGTTTGGGGGGGCACGCCAGGAGGGGGAAGGGCTGTCCCCAGGGTGATGACATCACATAGAGTGATGTCATTGCATCGGGGATGGTTGAAAAGAGTGGGCGCCGCAAATTTACGGCTTATGGGGCATGAACGCATGGCACCCGCTCATTTCAAGTATGGCTGCAGACGACTGTTGGGGTTGGGGCTTCCCCCCACCGGCCAACTGGCCGGCGTCTGGAGGGAGCCCAAAAAATCAGGGGAACCTCAACCCCACCTGGGAACTGGTATCCCTACTTGTCACACACACGGAGACTGCTCTTCAAGGACATTCTTAAAGCACTCTTCTAAAATGTTCTGTTTTGCAGTCCCTCCAGAACTTCAGGAGATACATCAATCTTCTAATTTCTTCTGGGACACTGTTCCACAACATTGGAGCAGCCAGAAAAAGGCCTGCAAGTAGGAAGCAGCAGGCTGTGCCCTCCTGGGGCTCTAAACAACCAAATGGTATTCCTGTGCTGAGCTGTCTGGTATATGGCATTACATCTTTGGTTCCCCAAAATACTAGCTCAATACATTTTATAGAACTGGTTTCACTGCAATTCATATTCCTTGCAGAAATTGTCTTTAGTTGAATATGGAATTAGCCATACTAGTGAGGTTGGCAATGACCGATAAAAAAGCTGCAGTCCTATGAACATTTGCCTGGGAGTAAGACTCATTGGATAACATGGGACTTTTCTGAGTAGACCTACAAAACCCAGTACTTTCACCCTATAATAGCATGCGTGTTGGTTATGTTATACAGAACTGAGTCATTATATTAATAATAATCAGTAAGGAACCAGGAGATAATAGTAATTCCAGATTATCAAAAAATAGTTATGACCTTGCATATGTGGTATAAAATCTGGTCATCTGCACAACGGTTCTTGGGGGGAGGGGGGGATCTCAGCTTGTCTTCCAAGTTCTCTTTCTACACATGGGGTTTTTAAATTAATATCCCCCCGATGGTTAGAACATACTTGGAATGCCTCTGTCCATCTGATAAAAAGATTGGACGATGCAGTCCAATTGCAGATAGTCTTACTCTAAAATATGTCGCTTCTATTTCTGCACGAAAACTCACTCTTCTCTGTAATTTCAAACAGGAGTGTAGGGGAGCCAGGAAAATAATACTTTGGGAAAGAAAGATGATCTTGATGAATAAGTTAGAGGTAAAGACGGGAATCTGAGGGGGGGGACAGGGAATGGTTAAAATATTTAGTAAACAAGATTGGAACAGTCAAAACAGCATTCTTTATTTTGGCACTATAACATTGTTAGGTAGCTCTGCTTAATAACTAGGGTTGCCAGTCCCCAGGTCCTAGTGGAGGTTCCCTGCTTTTCAGGGCTTCCCCAATGTGACGTCACCCAGAAGTGATGTCATGTCAGGGATGTTGCACACAATGCTCTGGTTTGAGGGCAAAACTCTATGGTAAATTTGGCCTAAAACCATAGAGTCTTGCCCTTAAACCAGAGCGTCACTGTGCCATGTCACCAACATGATGACATCACTTCCGGGTGACATCATTGCATCAGTGACGTCCCAGAATCCCCCCCAAACCCCCCCGCCGGCACAGCAAGGGGACCTGGCCATCCTATTAATAGCACAAGAAATGAAGCCTCTCCAATCACACACACACGTTTCATTTTGGCTTTCTATTTTCATTCGAAAGTCAAGATATTAAAAACTGAAGCACCTGTGTTGTATCTTCACCACTGAAATCTAATGTTTTTTCATTCGAAAGTCAAGATATTAAAAATTGAAGCACCTGTGTCTTCACCACTGAAATCTGATGTTAAACTTGAAACCTCAGCCAGGATTCTGATCTGTAACAATACCATTGGCTGAAGCTTATTGTAACCAATCAACTGTAAGAGAACTGGGCTGGAGGGAACAGTAAAAATTGGATGTTATCTCTGAACAGTGATTGGACCTTAACTGTGTGAGGGCGTGGCTACACCAGCCCGGGACTGTTTAAAAAGGAGCTGTGCGCCACTGTTTGTGTCCTGTGTGATCTTCGGATGTTCTCGTTCTTAATAAAGCTGATTCACTTGTTACTTACCACGTTGTTGAGTTGCATACTTAACAACCTGCACAGGGGAATGCCTTAAATACAAGTTCCCTACTCTTCTGTCACACAAAGGCCCATGGTTTGGAGGAGGGGAGGCTAATGGAGAAGGTAACAAAATGGAAGCATCCTCCTCCCGCTCCCACTCTTCCAAATATCTGCAAGCCTTTCCTACAATAAAGATTTTAAAATGAAATTGCTTCCTCAGCTCAACAGCCTTGCTCTGAAAATGAAGGAAAAGATAAATATCTTTATCACCTAACAGCTATTAAGCACGGTAAAGACGACTTAGATACAGCCAGCTTCATCATTCAATCCTGTCCAAATCGCCTCCATATTACATCACTGCCTCACATGGCTTTTGTTACTTGCAGCTCCCATGATTCTCTCTGGCTCCAGCACTGCCTTCTTGGGTGGTCAAAGAGGACTCCTCCTTCCTTTTTTTATCAGCAAACAAGCTGAATGGGCCCAAACTGTAAGCCATGAGGAAACAAGGAATGTTAGGGCGGAAGGTTGGACTGCTTGAAATACCACAGACTGTTAACAGTGCTAAGCAACACGGGGTGTTTAAGGGCATTTTGGCTTATGATCTCAATGAAATGTACTATTTCAGGGAAACTTTACCAACCATGTATCCAGTACATCAGCAGACTTAATACATTTATGTCAAGTGCCATATTTTGTTTTTATAAAAGAGGCAATGGCTAGAATCTAAGGCAGGAGTCTCCAACATCATGGCACTGGCCACCACAGCACCCGCCAACACCTGTTCTGTTGCCCGCCAAGTGCTTTTGGAAAGTGGGTAGGGCTTTTGGCCAGCGGGCTTCAGACTAGTTGTGCAGATTAAAAGAGATCCTATTAAACAGAATCTCTGCCTGAACTGCTGAAGAGGTACTATTAGAGTTGCATATATCCTCGCTCCTTGACATTTTGTGGTCAGGTTCACCCCCTACAGCAACCATTTTGTGATTTGGTCCACCTCCTGTGGCCGCCATTTTGTGACTGTGCCCTGTGTCAGAATGCCAAAGGTGCCCACAGGCTCAAAGGAGTTACTTTAGGCATGACCCAAGGAGTTACTTGAGGCATGACCAAGGGCTTGGGCATGTTCAGTGAGAATCAGGACTCTCCCCCCTTTGAACTGGAGATCTCCATGGTCTATCAGAAACTGCTTCTGAAAGTCTCCTCAGTTTTCCAAGTGTTTTGCCACACAGTGCAAGGGATTCCTGTTTCATTAACACAAAGCCTGCTTGGACAAGTAAAACTAAGCTGCTCATTTCTCACCGAGCCTTTCAGCACCTTTTGCCTGCTTGCATTCTGCTAAACACTGTTAATTCTAACACATATGACAGTAAGGATTTCTAATGATATGACAATGAATTTATGATGTCCATTCAGTGTTACAATTTAGAAATAGTAATCCTGATGTCTTTTAGGAGCACTCAAAATTTGGTTCAAATCAGGGGACAGCAAATATTTATGCCATGAAAGGGGTAAGTTCTTTGCATTATAACTGCATCCTCCCCCAGGGCCTTTCATTTTTATTTATTTGCTAGAGACTCACTGACAAGTAAATTGAAATGTAGACCACAATACAAATGTTTCCCATGTAGGAAAAATACATATTGTGTGGTTTCGTACTCAAATTTATATTAACAAGATCTGAAATGAGGAATAACAAACATTTGAAATTTTCGGTGTGTAGGTGAAGGAGTAAACATTA